AGACCATTCCAAGCTTTTACTTGTTGTTAAACAAATGTTTAAAGAACTCTATTCAATTTTAGTTAATACATCAGAAGTCTTTCTTGCTTGAATACCTTCAAATAATCTAACCACATCTTGCTCTTTGGTTTTTTCTGTATGTAAAGATAATACATCAGTTTTATTGGTTCCAGTACTTGTTTGCTTATTTTTTTGAAGTCATTACTTTGGCAGTTGCTTTTCGCTTTACAAGACTATTGATGGTAGTTTGAAAGTATGAAGTCTTAAAGCTAGTGGACTTCATCTAGGCATGAGCTTAGAAACTAATGGAGGGGGACATTTAGAATTATCTGCTCATAGTTTCTAAAAGAAGTAAAGAGGTAACTTTGAAAAAATAAGATATCCTAAAGAAAAAAAACTATCTGTCTAAATCAAGATTAAGTGATATACAAAGTATTTTATTGCAAAATTTCTTTTTAACAAAGTGGGTGGGTGCATCACATCATTAGGTCTGTAACTGTGTGGTTGTTAATAAGTGTATTTAATACTTGGATATCTTGCTAAAGGGACCAACAGGGTTATATATTATAATAAGATTCAGTGTCTGTGTGTCATGTAACTCCTTGTAAATTGCTGGTCACAATGACTTCTAAATGGGACCAAACAAATTGTTTTAGTCCTGAGGTTTGCACAAAGGTAAAAATTTTCACCAACACCCCTTGAAGAACTCAGGAATTTCCCCCAAAACCCTTCTCTTAAACTGCTGGACTCACCAACTTTAAAATGGTGCCAAATGAATCATCTCAGCCATGAGGCTTGCACAAAGTTAAAACTTTCACCCAACCTTTTGGGGAACCCGAGTATTTCACAAAAACATTTTTACAGGGATTCCCCAAAAGCAGACCCCCAAGTGTGGCATTGACTTACAATAGAACACGTAAATAAGTAGGCCTAATAATTACTATTTGTAACTTGGTTAAAGAAATTAAACTTACATTATAGCAGCAATGATCATTAAACTGCAAAAGTGCAAAAGAGTAGTTCAAGCATTAAATTTGCTTTATTGCAGCCCTGTAAATGTGGGCCACAGGTCCCACAGGTTTGCTAGTTTTAATGATAAAATCGAATGATCATTTTATATGATCATTAATGCGCAATATCTTTATACTATCTTGCAACAAAAAAATTCATATTCAAATAATTTGTAATTACTTGGGGTGACTTTTCTTGGAAACCTACACTGTGTACAGTATACTGCACTGGAACTGTCATTAAGATATGAATATACATAAAAGAGATCTGCTCTGTCATACATCTTACACAAAAAAAGCACATTACAATAGAATAGCTAGTAGCACACATTACCCGAGGATAGACACACACCTCGTCCAGTATCTGTGACAACATAGGATCTGACGTCTGGCTCTGGGCTGTCAACCCAACCACAGAATCAAAAGAACTAACATCTCCAAGCAAGTCTGAAAGTGTTAAACTCTTATTAGGTTGTTGAAAAACCTGATTGGATAGCTGAAAATTGTTGTTATAAATGCTCTGTCCTGATTGGTTTGAAATAGTAGCATTTGTTGAAGCAGCTGCCAATGCTCGTGTTAACTGAGAGCCATCAGAACTGTTCAATATACGACTAAGAAATCCTTGATATTGTTGGTGTTGAGTTGTGAATCCATGTTGGGGAAGCTGTCCTAAGGAAGGATTTACAGTGGTTACTGGATGGTGGCTGAGAGTAACATGTCCTCGAGAGTCTGCAGTAACTACATCCTGATGAAGCAGGGAGTGGTTTGTAGACATGGTATGGCCAGTACCATGCTGTGTTGAGATGCTAGAAGAACCAGATGTCATGACCACACAAGGTGTCTGAATAAGCTTCTTCTCCAGATTTTTAGGTAGTCGATCCTGGGGTAGCTGAGACATGATTGAATTTGCAATGGTAGTGGGGACAGAAGGCTCTGTCTTAGGTGTCTGAGCCAGCATGGAAGCCAACATAGGGTTCTGGCCAGCCAGATGTGGCTAGAAAGAAAGAAAATGTAGTACATTAATTATAATATAATAAGCACATACATGCAACACTTAAAAAAATAATTCGTTTTTAGACATAATTGCGAACTGTCCTTGAATAGATTTCAAAACTTTTCCAATGATTTATGTAAGGTTCACCATTGAAGCAAATATAAAGTTTCTTGAACAAAAGTATATTAAAGTACACCCTGGAAACAGCAGCATCTACCATATCTACAGCTCTCCTTAATTAAAACAGATTGAATGCCTTGCTGTGTTACCAGTTCTTGTTAAAAATAACTGGTCCTATATACACTTGTAGTGCATGACCAAAGTGTTATCTAATATATCAATCTATCTCTTTCAAAGAAACTTATAAAATAAAACTAAACTAGATGTACTTCTGCAGGGTCCCTGAAAGTGTTCTGTTTCAAAAGTAAATAAAACCAAACTTATGAGTAAGAAATGATTTTTATTTCTTACTTTTGAAGTTCATATGTAATGCTGTGTTGTAGCCTATAGAATGAATAATTCTTCTTGTGATTCGTGATGTGCTCACATTTTACTTACATCACGACAGTACAAATTGCAACATTATGCATCCCTTATGTGACATCATTTTAGTGTCTACGGACTGACTGACAGATAACACACTACTGTGTGCAAGTGGTTAAAAGAGGTGAACCCCTCCAGGTAGACTTCAGCCCCTTTTGACGAAATAATGTTACTTCTGATTCTTGATCAACCACATATACTTTCCCTTTTTAGGTCATATAATCTCAAAGGTATGTATAATTCTATTACCTTCTTTTTTTAGAGTATTTATGACAATTCCTACAGCTCGCAAGTAAACTTTTATTTATTCATAACTATCAACTTTTCTAAATTATGTTGTATTAGATACTATAAACAATTAAATGACAAAATGCCCTGTCATTATCGAAGAAGATATTGCAGTACATATAGTTGCACAGAAAACACCAGTTTTACATTAAAGCCACACAGTTTAGTGAAGTCTAAGTACTTGTTTAGATTATGCAACCTTAATATACTTTTACTAATTATTATAACAGTAATCTAAAATGTATGATAAATGGTAATAAGCCACAGTAACTGTTAAAGAATGTACATGAGAAAAGTACATTTAAATAAACTTATGAAGGATCCACGCATATACACTTTTTTGTATTCTGTTAACACTCAAAGACTTCCTTATCCATTTTATTTTACATTTCTCATTAAGGATACAGATGGTCTGAACAAAATTTGGGATTGTTGGAAATTTCTTCATATCAAGAAAGCAAATTATTAACAGTACATCCCACCTTGACATATTTCTGGAAATGTCATTCAATAATCTTCTAGTAATTGAATATTTCAAAACAATAATAAAAATAAACGTATCAATTAGATGAACAACTGTTGCTAATCCTATCATAACTTACATGTTGGATAGCTGGTCGCTTTGATGGTGGTTTGGTGCCAGAATCTGTGTTATCATCAGATTTTCTCTTGGAAAGTGAGCTTAAAGCTTCACTAAGTGAGGTGGGAAGAGATAGCGAGTTAGAAGAGTGGCTGGAACCAAGGCCAAAATCCTTAAAAATCTGGTCAGAAGAACTGGATTGAGAGTTGGCATCTCCACCCACAGAATTCTCATTCTAAATGACAGAAATAATATTCTTCAAAACTTAACATTAATTGAACATAGCAAATAATCTGCTCATTAAAACATTAGTTTAATTATTCAACATTAATTATGTATTTCTTATTAGCTCCAAAAGATAATTCCCCATTTAAATACTAGTTTATGCAAAAGATATAAGGTGCATATGTAAACATGTACAACTTACAGTGGAAATATTTAATAAAATAGAAAACAAACAAATTCCACCTAACTATGACATCAAAAAAGGATATTTTATTCTTATGAACAAATAATCTTTTGCTAAACATAATATTTCTAAGCCACTTATCCAAGTTTTTAACATTAAAAAAAGTGTAACACTGCAGAACCAAATTAAAAATTCATCTGGACAATAATGAACTTCTTAATGCATATGAAAAACACAGATATATAAACACTCATTTACACAATACTTTCTAAAAAGAAACACACACACATACATACGAGGCCTGTGATAAAAGTATCCGACCTTATTTTTTTTGCGATAACCTGATGGATTTGAATCAAGCGCGCTTGCATGAGCCGACCTTGAACCTTCGTGCGCATGCGTGAATTTTTTTCCGCTTGTTG